TGCTATTTATTACACCAGCAAATAAGAATGCTTTTGCCACTTGCCACTTGCCACTTGCCACTTGCTACCCTCGCCAAATTGTGGATAATCTCAACGTTTCAACGAATTTATCACAACTTCATTATTAACTAAATATCATTCTATGTTAATTTTTTGAATTATAGATTTGGAATGATTATTCTATTTACCATTTTAAATTTAGTTATTTACTTTTCGTATTTGAATTATTTTTATATTTGTATAAGTGAAATATGTAAGAAAAATTGGTTTTGTACTAATTTTATGATTTCATTTTTAAGTAAGTGGAAGATTTAAAAAATTCTTAAAAGGCATTCTAAGATGACTAAGAAATTAATTCTAATTTGTATATGTGAGAAAATGTAAGGTTGAGAAATTGAGTTTAAGTAATTTAAATATTATTGGGTTCTCAAAACGTTTGGGTTTTGAATAATGTTTGGGCATCCAAACTAGTTATATTCATGTATTAGGCATGCTATAACTCTAACAGAGTTTGTCGGAGATAAGTAGGAAAAAATCGGGCATGAAATGGAGTTTGGATGAGCATGTACGAGCTTGCGGTGCAAGGGCACACAACTGGCTTCTTTGCAGCCCACGTCAGTTCGCGAAGCCACCTTGGGCCGTGAACATTTTTGGGTTGCAGGTCGCGAAGCTTATGCGACATGCGAAGGCTCACAACTTCTGGTGATCATAAGGTGTCTTTTGGCTTCCAAAAGCATCCATTCTCAGTCATGTACGTCTCAAAATGTGTCTTTTGACACTTGAACCTCCTGGATGTGTTTTTCTACATCTTCCAATACTCATAGATATGAATAATAAAAAATACTTGCAATTTAAGAGCTCTTGCATTACTTTTTTCTAAGTTCATATATCATATTGTATTCTTTGATATTTTGTCGACTCTTGAGAGTGCCAATCAATAGTATTATTCGTCGAAGGGTTGTCTAATTTAAATACCATTATATACAAGTCAAAAGTAGTGGTATCTTGGAGGCAATTGCCATTAACTGTAAGTATCTTAAGGAGAATGTAACTATTACGTACCTCGACTTTAATTTTTGTTTATGTTTTCTTCATTCTCCTTAGGTCATCTTCTTGATATTCACATATCAAACTCAAACAACAATACACACATATATATATATGGTATGTGTAAGACCTCAGACTGGCTTGGTTCGACTGGATTGTCTTCTCGCCGGTTAATGACCTTCAATGCCTGGACAAACTCAACGTCGAGGAGTTTTCTGGCGTAGAGCCTCCGACGCTCAAGTCAGAATGTGTATGAAGACAATGAACAGTGAACACAAAGCACTATGAGCACTGCTAGTATAGAATGTATGGAGAGTGTAATGTTTTAATGGATATACCTCATTTCCTTATATAGGGATGTGTTACCTTGTTGCCTAAGACAGCTCGAACTGCCCGATCTACCCAATTCTGTTAGGCCACGTGGCTCTATCCACGTGCGGTTCTTATCCTAATAATATTTCTTCTTATCTGTTAATCTACGGCCTAATCATGCGACTGACCCAAATCACCTCGAGGTAGAATGCTATGTATACTGAGCTTGTGAGTCTTGCTTATCTGGTCGGTCTGTCAACCATTAACGCTTTCAGGTCAAGTTTCAACTAGGCCATCCAATGGCCCTAGTTCGACCTGTCGGTGTCCTTTTGAACCTACAAAGTCCTTCTCGAATTGAGGAATTATTGTTGTTCTACAGCCACGTTCGACCTCCGTTCCGCTTACCTGTGTTTCTGCTCGACCAACTGGATCGACCAATTGCTTATATGAGCAAGGCTTTGTGGAGTATGAGAGTGTGATGGTCAGTCTATGTAAAAGAATTGCTAGTTGTGGTGGAAGTGGTATGAGTTTCGAGGTCTTATCTTTTGGGACAACATTTTCTGATGGTAACGAACCAACAACCACTTAAACATTTGTTGGAGCATCGAATTGTAACTCTTGAGCAACAGACGTCTGTGTCAAAATTAATGGGATTTGACTTTGAGATTTGCTATTGACTGGGTCGACAAAACTCGGTAGCGGATGCTTTGTCTCATCGTACCGATGTGGCCAAACTTCAAGCTATTTTTGGACCACCTTGGGCTATATAGGATTAACTACGAGAGGAAAACACTCAAGATGCTTTTTGTAATGATGTTCATAGGAAGATAGAAGCTCAAGATGAAGCGGCTAAAGAGTACGATGTCTACGGTGGATTGTTATTATATAAAGGGCGGGTGTATGTAATGGAAACTGATCAACTGAGATGGGAAATTGTTCATTATTTTCATAATTCTAAGATAGGGGACATTTTGGAGTTTATCGTACGTGGGCACGACTATCAAGCACTTTCTATTGGCCGGAGCTAAAGAATGAAGTTCGAGAGTTTGTGGAAAAGTGTCATGTTTGCCAACGGGTTGGATTCTAGAAAATCGGGCAGACTATTGCAACCATTACCGATGCTCGAACAAATATGGGAGAATATCACGATGAACGTCATTGAAGGATTACTGACATCTAACGGATTCAACAGGGTTATGGGAGTATGCACATTTCATTCCCTTAAGTCATCCATACACAGCTGAGTCGGTAGCCGAATTATTTGTGGAGTACGTGGTGAAGTTACATGGGGTTCCACGGTCCATTGTGTCGGATAGAGATCGAATCTTCATGAGTAACTTTTGGAAGAAATTTTTCAAAATACATGGGACTGAATTAGCTATGAGTTCAGCATATCATCCTCAAACGGACGGTCAAACTGAGGTAACCAATCGTAGGCTATGTTCACGAGTTTCAAATAAAGTGGGACAATTTTTTGCCGTGGGATGAATTTTGGTATAATATAACTTATCATGTTTCGACCAAGTTTGCTCATTTCGAGTTGGTTTTTGAGTGGCGCCTACATTGATTAGCTATCCATCGGGAAAACCTCTGAATGTTGAAGTTGATCGTAAACTAATGGAACGATATTTGATGATTCGGGAACTAAAAGGTAACCTCTATGGGTCGATCAACAGGGTGAAAGAGTACTATGATAAAGGAAGACGGAGGAACAGTTCAAACTGGTCAATTGGGTTTACCTGAAGCTCCAACCTAATCGCCAACATACGATTTCTCAGAAGGCTTTATTCAAGTTGTGCAGCCTTTTCTAAGGTCCATATCAAATTATAGAACGCATGGGTGAAGTGGCCTATCGACTCGATTTACTGGCGGAGTTTCAAATTCATCGGGTTATTCACGTATCTCAATTAAAGAAAAGTTTGGGTGGACATCATGAAGTTCATACAAGGTTACCGGCGGTGAATCCCGAAGGCACTATAATTGTACATCCAGCTTATGCATTGTATTATCGAAGGATTAAGAAGGCTGGTCGTTTTCGTTTGGAGGCCTTGATCGATTGGGAAGGTTTGTCGGAAGAGGACCCGACTTGGGAAAATCTACAAGATATGCTTGTTCAATTTTTGGATTTTGTCCTTGGGGACAAGGACAGTCGAAGGAAACGGGAATGATGCGCATGATGGTTGTCGTCTGAAGAATGCGTACAATTGGGCTCGACGCGCACAAATTAAAGAACAACAAATGGCATGTTGCCAGGGGTCGCGCCGCGACGAGATCGAGTCTTCACGCCGCGAGCATGCCATCACGAGGACAGAGCCTGGGAGCCTTCCAGGTGCGACACCCAATCACGCCGCGATGGTGTAGAAAAGGCTCGCGCCCCAAGCTCAGTCGCGGGGGCAATCGTGATGACAGAGGCTTGGTGCTGGGCATTGTGTCGCGCCGCGACACTGTGACAGTTTTTTAAGGCGGGATTAGTTATTTTCTCGTTTTTGTTTGAACTTTCAAATGTTGTTTGGTGTGTATCTGATGTTTAGGACCTTTGTATGAGCAATGATTATTATCTAGAAAAATAAATTCAAAAAACACTCGTTTCTGAGCCCAAATCCATGTCAAAGTCAAGGCCGAAAGTGCAGATTTTGATACGAAATCCGATAGTTGATACACGATTCTTAACATACCCTTGAAGCTTTTCAATTTACAAAAAGTGCAGATTTTGATACAAAATCCGATAGTTGATACACAATTCTTAACATACTCCACTCTTTTTTTCCCTCATCTTTTTCTCGAGTAATATTAATTGAGAATACCCAAAAAGACGATAAGACTGTCCAGGAAAGCCGCTTCATGCGTCTGCCAATTACCCAACTTCCACCTGCATAACAATTGATGATCTTATGAACAAATTACAAATGTTAATTGTTATCCAGTCAAGAAAATATCCTTTGACAAGTTACTTTCAAAATGAAGCGAATACCATGCCATACATGCGTTATGATTGCTATACGCTTAATTATAGTTACTTGAAAGGGCTGGCAAATACTCCTCGCCCATTGGCCATACTCCCCGCCACCTGTTTCCCCGGAAAGTGATTTTGCATTGAATTGATTCTGTGTTTGATTGAATCGATTACAAGGACGACGGCGACTTTTGTTAGAGGAAGAAGATTTTTTGGTAAATCGTGCGTTCTACGAGGCCACGACACGCATGAATGTTTAATATTTGGGATTCCAGCGGGTCCCGCGGTACTGAATTCCTAAGATATTAACGCCCTCTTGTTTTCTCGTACTTAGACATGTTTTAGTTGATGTTCAAAGTTAAATCATATATGGGAATTCACGTTCAAGATAATTTTGTTCAGCAATTTGAACACACACATTCGATCATGTGCTGTTGCGATTTTGAGACTCGTTAGCTTCTGTCCGCTTCGTGAAATGAACATATGATTATTGAGGTTGCAAAAGGGAACCTTTCAATTTAATTTCATTTTATTCAGATGAATTCTTCGTAAGAAAAAACAATATTGAATTTAAAAATACAATTCAATTCATAATGAAGAACACCAAAACTGCACATCTCAGTATGTAGAATCAACACCATATTTTGCTAAGATAAGACCATCAAATTGATGTGCGATTGATACCTTTGCTGATTCTAGAGGAAAAGTTGATTAAATTCAAGGTATTATATACATAGTGAACTACTTGGATGTTTATTGTAGTCTTCAGATAGAAAACATGGAAAAGATGAAAAATAATTTATGCCAAAAGAAAAAAAGTAAATAAAGAACACTACTTGTTCGATGGGCCTCGTTGGGATAAAAGGAATAGAAGCACCTGATCATTAGAAGTGTCCATCGCCACTATTCATCAATAAAAGTTTGAGTTAAACATTTCCATATTATCATACCACAAAATTCAGACATCAAAGATGAAAATACTGTCGGTATAACCCCCAAACAACAATTCATATTTCAGGCATAATATTTGGAATTAAAATTTTCAAAAACAGAAACGGACATAAAGGCACACACAGTGACACAGATGCCCTGCTCTGCTGATAAAGACTTCAATTTTAGTGAACTGCATAAGAGCCACATGTCCACACAATCCTCAAAACAGAAGCTAACAATGGCACGACAATTGGATATCATATATTAGACCGACTCGAAATCAAGATGCAGCATTTAATAAAAAATATTATATTAGATAGCTCGAAGAATGAACTTTGCATATACTTCCAAGTTCCAACAAGTAGAAATTCCATTTGCAGCCATCATCGCCACTGTTGACCCTGAGGAGGAGAGTTGTTTACACGTGGAAGAGGTTCCCTAGGCCTTGCATATTCCGCGAAAATAACCCAACCATCCAAAAACTACCAAAAAAAGAATGTAAAATTAGAAAGATATATAACGATTCTGAATAAAGAGTATAAGGAAAACTTCCAAAAACAATACCACCAGCTAAAAATGACACTAGCAAGTATCCATGACTAAAGTAAACGACGAAACTGATTCATTATGCATCTGGGAGTTTCCAAAATTCATCTCATCATAAAATGCATTTAGCTACATTTCAACTGACCACAATACCGCTCTTTCACAAAGTCAATGGCATCTATTTTAAGGAAAAGCCAAGAGAATTTACAATTGAAACAACAACTAATTAATGACTCCTTAGTTTAGGAATAACTGTATAAGACTATCTTAGTAATGGAGCCAACAACTGTTGGCTCCATTACGGAGCCAACAGCCAATGGGACAGCTCCATGTGGGGCTGTCCCACATGGCTCCAATGTGGGACAGTCCCACATGGAGCTGTCTCATTGGTTGTTGGCTCCATAACGGAGCCAACAGTTGGCTCCTTATCATTATTGGTGAAAGAAAAGCTCCATCTATGTTACTACTGTATGACTTCTTCAAGTCAAATAAGGTGTCTCTCCATAGCTTTGATATACCATGTTCTGGATTAGTTCTTCAAAGAGGACATTTCTGGTCTTGTTCTCTCTAACAACTTGCCTTCTAAGATACCTTGAGCGCATCATGTAAGTCATTCTTTTAACTTGTGCGAAATTTGAAACTTGTGTTCAGTTTAATTTCAGCATACTGTTTTGCAAAATCTCACAGATATGTACAACTTGTGGAAATTTGGAACCAGATATTTCTTTCCTACTCTGTCGACTGCCTCAGTCAATTAAGCGCAACTGAATAGTCACCAAAAAAGCTACGTCGTTTTCTTCTAAATTTCTCCACAAATAAAGTCTGGTTTTTATGGGGGGCATTTCCATCTTTTGAAGATTAGAGCAGCCATAGTTTTTAATGGCAGCACCATGGACAGTGCGGCAGGTGAAATCGGAAATCCCATAGCTCAACATTCTTTCTCTATATTTTCTTTTCTGTTTCTCTTTTCTATTATTATTAGTTTCAATTTTTACTTTTTTTTTATTTTGTTATAGTTTTAAACTTATCTTTCTGTGTCTATTTTGTATTTTTATTTTTTCTTTTAGTTTATATTATTTATGTTCAGATATTGTTTTGGGGGTTGCAATTCTATTTTTCAAATGCTAAGGGTAGTCGTCACTTGGGTTCTTCTTGAGGATATTTGAGGTTGATTTTGCCATTTGAATATAAATATGAAATCCAATATCTACATTATTGTATTTTTACGCTTTGGCCGCTTATGTTACCGAGGGCTCACCGTGGTCTCACGTCCCACTCGTGGCCATCCATAAACAAATCGCGATTGTACTTTCAAAATTATGACAGCAGCAATTAAACTTTCCATATAAAAGAGTTTGTTGGAACAAGACCTCGATGAGGAAAAGATTGAAATTTGGGAGCTAAAAGACTCGAATACAACTACTTATGAGCTCTATTTTCCATCCATGACACACCCCAAGGTCTAAATTTCTTTTTATAAGTATTTGTTAGTCAAAACCTTGAATTTTACCTGGCCATCCATGCCTTTAATCCCTGCTGCAGCATCTTCTAGAGATGCATACTTGACGAAACCAAAACCCTTTGAGTAACCATTTACACGATCAGTCACCACTTTAGCTGCAACAGAAACAAGGGTAATTAGGATTTACTGTCTTCCCCAATAAAAACCCCCTTATGGAAAGAAAATGAATATACCCTGGACTACTTCACCAAATTTGGCAAAGGCATCACGAAGACCTTCTGTTGTTGTACGTTTGCTAAGTCCTGAAAACTCACAATTTGAAGCATGTTAAAATGATCTCATGAGTGGTCAGTTCAGGACAAATTCAAATATATGACAAAGCAAAGTCTTAAGCAAGAAAAACAACACAAACATAATAAAGGACAATGACATTGGAAGCACTCAAGGAGTGTGATGTTTGGATCTAATGACTCGCAAAATATATAATCAATATATATAACGTGTAATGTGATAACACTGCAACTATAAAGGTACAATGTGGAAGGAACTTAAGATGCTACTTTTTTCATGCTACACAAGAAGGAAACGTGCATAACCCATAAAAAGGCCTTCTGTAACGGCAACCAAACGGTTCATGATTCTTCCAATGCAACACGAAAATTTAGCATCTCATATTCTACTAATCATATGATAATATCAGATTCTCGAACTGAAACACAACTGGGCATAAAAAATGTCCAAAGCAGAAGAACAAATATGTGACAGTCAAAAGTGTACGTACGAAAAGTTGAATCCAAGGAATGACAAGTACTCAAACATTGGAAAGACTGCAACTCATAACAATTTGTTGCAGGCATTTGTTAGATTTGAATAATTCAGATTTCACTGAATTTCACTGAACATATCTCTTGCATCTACAATGTAGGGAGGGAATATAACTCACATTTGACTAAAAAATGAGTGTTACAGAGTACAGGCATGAAAGCTATTAGCTATAGTTATTTGCATTTGTGGTATTAAATGGAAAAGTGAGAAAAGTAGTTTTTAAGAGAAGTGGGATATCTTTTAGACGGTGAATGAATATAAGACAAAAAAATGTAATGATTAGAATTAATGCTATATTAAAATAACAAAATACTAATTCACAATGATGGAAAAACGAGTGAGATGAATAGTGAATAGTGTTTTTGGTTGGAAAAAATATAATAATGTTTTGAATTTTTTTAATTGTATTAGGTCCTCTTTTACCGAAAAACTCATTCTCAAATACATTTTGCAGTAATTGTCACAGATCAAACATTAATTCATCTCCAACCGAAAAACTCAATTCTCAAACCTACAAGAATAATCTCTTTTATATCAATTTTTACAACTTTACAATACTACCCACATATATCACAACTTTGCAAATTAAACCACATTATCATTTTAAATTTGATTTGGCTTTATGTTATAAAATTAATTATAAAGTTATAATTCATATATATAATAAAACTGGATAAATAAATATTCACTAACAATTAAAAAGTAAAAATTACAATGCACAAGAAAAAACAATCCCGTCATTATCCTCTTCGGAGTCAGAAAATCTAAATCTTGGTCTATCCGACAAACATCCCCAGGCATTTCTTTATTTTCTCTAAACTTAGACAACTCGGATCAATTTGCTAGTGGTTCATCATCTAAAAGACCTATTGGGTGAAAAAAATCAAACTAAAGGAAGATAAATGATGATTCATTATCGATCATCAACACCATATCAGGAAGAAAAAAATAAACTTCTTAAGGAGCTGAAAAAGTGAAAAAGTCGAATGAACAAATGAAACATCAAATGGAGATGCAAAACAAATCCCACGCTTTAAATAAAATGAGAGAAAATAACAAATTTACGTTTCGAGACGTCAGTTCCACAAAAAAATCCTAGAGTTCGAGCATATATTGAAGACTAGACCTCAACAAAATTACCAACTGACACATTTGGGCAGTTTTTCAATAATTTGAGAGCAAGTAGTGTCAATTTGCCAAATTACTAAATATATGTTGTTTAATTTCGTAATTTATGATGAATTTTTATTTCCAATAGTTTTATGTTATCTTTCAATTTTATGACAGATTTGATGATATTAATGTCTTTTTTATGTATTAAATTTGTAGTCTTCCTAATATTAATATGTTTGTATTTTTTTCTAAAAAAAATTACTAAATATATAATAAAAAAGTAACTAAAATAATATTCTATTTGAAAGTATATTTTTTTACTATCAAAATTCAATTACTAAATATAATACATATATAAGGGTAAGGAGTGTTTGATTATATATGAAATTGCGTCCGTGGAGAGAGGAGGTAGAAATGCATTTTGCAGATCCGTTTGGCGTACGGTTGGATGGACTGATTTACTGCAAAAAATGGGAGTTGGCGTACGGTTTGTGACGATCTTAGAGAGACTGTAGCAGAAAAAAGTGAGATGGAGTAGTTTGTCTGAATTTTTTTTGTTTCTTTTACTTCCATTCATAACTTTAATGTGATAAATATGGACTAACGAAT